TGTCGATGTTCGGCAGCCTTGCGTTGGCCATGCGATGCCTTGTTCTCTGCTGTTCCGTGGAGCGGAGGAATGGAAGGGTTGCTGTTTAATTGTTGGACCTACCGGGTGCTCTGGCTCAAAGCTGAAAAACACAGACCCATCCACTGTCCCATTGCTCCAAAACCTGCAGCAGCAAGTGCTCTGTTAACCCTGAGACTTTGACCTTTAGTATCCTTTAATGGCTTCCGCCGCGGAGGACCATAGCGTACGGAAGTCGAATCTTTCCTCCAAAGAGCCAACGTTGTTTCCCAATGCTCCCCTACCCTACATAGGATACCGGCATGTCAAGCCTCGAGAGGACAAGGCAGCCAAACAGCTTTGTTTTGGTCCAGGGATGCTTGCGTGAGTGGCGCATGCATCATGTCGACCACCACGCAGCTGGACATCAAGATTCTGGAGGCCTCATGGTGGAGATCGTGTTCAGGATGTCAAGTCCAGCTGAGACCGCGCAACTGTTAAGATTCACAGACTGCACTCAGACTCCGAAGGCACGCCTCATTCGCATCTTCGACAGCCTGAAGCCGAATCAGGACGTTTTCGTCCAACTCGCACCAGCCCCGGCCATCCCAGCCGCCTGCATCAGGGCCCCAGAGTCTCTGCAGACAGCGCTTTTGGAAAGGTTTGTGGCTACGAAGATGGCAGTGAAAAGGTCGGCCTTAGCTTGCGTTGCTCGGGGTAGCTCCGGGTCGTAGTCTCCCTCGATTCTTTCGAGCTGCGCCATGTCACAGTCGGTTTTCGCAGCCTCGGGGGCTTGTGACTTGAGTCTTGGATATCAAGCTCTGGGCAACTGGTTTGCATGCCAGGCGGTTGGCCGTACGGAGGTCTGCAAGAACGGCAACCTCCAACCAAGGTGGAACCAGAGGCCCCCCCCACACCACGCCGCTGTCTTGCATGAGCATTGAAGTTCACACTGAGTCATACACTGCTGTTCCCCCTGTTGAAGTTCATACTTCTCATGTGTCTCTCAGGTTCCTTTGCGGCCGGGATCGTGGCAAGACCTTAAAGTTCAAGGCAGGTAAGAGAATATGGTCGTTGTTACTTTGATTACATTACTGGTGGTCCTGGTATTGATACCAGTGTTCATCACGGATGGGCTTACGTAACTGAAGGAAGCGCAGGAGTAGGGGTATGGGAGGAGTAGGAGTCGGAGCATTAGAGTAGCAAAAGCAGGTACATGTTTGGGGGTCTGCTAGGGTTGTTCCTGGAGGTAAACCCCTGATTCCTTCTGCAGGTCCACATTGACCACGTGTGGCGCAGCGCCGTTCTTTGTGGTGAGGCGCCTGTAGATGTCAAAACGAAACAGCGTGATCCTCTGGTGCCCGAAGCCTCGTAATCCAGAAGGGCGTTATTGAGTTTTCAA